TTCTCTTTAGATCTTCAATGAAATCCTTTGTTTTTTATACGTAGACGTAGCCCTCGTCGCGTAGACGAACTTTAATTCTTGGCTCGATGAATTCCGACCGACATAACTCCTTAGATCGCAAGGAGAAAGGTAGAAATCTTGTATTTCCTCTTCTCTTCTCTTCCAACGTGTGAGACCAACTGATCAAGTGGGAAAATATCAGATATTTCCCTCTATTTATAGCGCCTTTAATTGCGCGGTCCACATCGCACCACACATTTCCTACTTCCGGGTCTGTTTTTGTCCTGAAACGACTTAATTTTATCCCAGTTTAATTTAAATTATTTTTATTTAAACTTTCCTTCAATTATAAGAAAATTTTGTAATTTTTATTTTTTGGGGACGTTTGTGAGGTCATCCGACCCCTAGTTGTCTCGAAAAATATAAAAATTCGACTATTTTGAAATTTGATGAAAATTGACAAGGTAGCTCGATTTCGCAATATGAATCCGATGGTGAGGTTCGTTGCATCATTCGAGCTATAAAAAAAATACGGATTTAATTCTGCAATATAGTGATAAATTACCAATTTTTCTTTTTTCGAAAAAAAATTCAAATTTACCCAAGTTTTACAATTCCGACCATTACAATAGTCACCCGGGGCATCAATTTTCACATGTCTATGTAAAACCTTATATAAAATCCTAAAATATAACAAAACCTTCTAAAAAAAATCTAAAAATAACAATTCCTAGTTTTTAAATAGTAATCTCTTTCAAATTCTTTTCACTATTTTTTTCTCTACTCGTACTGCATCTCTCCAACTTTTTCTCTCCCTCCCACTATCATTGTCTTGCTCTGATTTTTTGTCCTTATCTTTTACTCTTTTGCTGTTTTTTTAAAACTTCATTTAATTTATTAGTCTGTAAAATTCTGACTTCACAATTGCACCAAATTTATTATCTGATTCAATCCGATCCCAAAACTAATAATACATTGAAAATAATTTATACCACAACTCTTTGTAAAAAATCTAATAATCGTTAAAAAAA